AAAATTTTGAGAGGGACTGTATTTGTCAAAAACAATGCTTCATATTTTTTAATACTGTATTATAATTTTTAATGAAAAAAGCCTTTCATAGTAAAAATATTAAAGTCTAAAATAACAAAATACTCTAACACATAACAAGGCAATTATTTCCCAGAACATCTTCTGAATTCCTAGGGAAGTTATAGTAAAATGGCATATTCAAGGGGAAAACATCCTGACAGAAAAATCATGACCACTTTAGTTAGTGCAGTTTTAGGTGCAAATTTTATTCTTAAACAAGGTCTTTGAATAAAAGTGTAAGGAGACCTAACAGCAAGTCAAAGGCCAGTGAATATCCATGTATGAAAGATGGAAAAGAGCTGTTAGTCTGAAAGAGAACAGGAGATCAGTAAGTAGTACAGGGAAAACACAGCTGCAGAATGTCTGGCAGAGACCCAAATATCTTTTATGGTTCACTTTCAACCTTCTTTTTTCTTTAAGCTAAGAAAGCAGTAATACCTAATTCAGCATGTTTTTACCAAGCATGTCAAGTCACAGTTTCTGAAAGACAAGTCCTGCAGAACCTCAGATAGCAGAGAGCAGTGTTGCTACAACAAAAATCTAAGTAATGCTCAGAAGTAAAACATTAAAACGGTCATGTCAGCACACTCTCTGTATGGGTGAGAGATTCAGGGAGAGACTTGTTTGCAAACATGGCATTTGCTTTGTGCGTGCACCTGGACTTGCTGCCAGGGAGGGCACAGCAATATATCCCAGCCCATTGCTTGGGTGAGAGGACCTGCCAAGGACTAGGCAGGCAGCTACTGCCCTGGCCACAAAGCACACAGCCAACAAAACCTTCACATGCAGCATCTCTGTGAAAAGGAAACATCAGTGAATGGGCTTGATAGGGGCTTTGGAGCAGTCCAGCAGATATGTTAAGCCTTTACCTTCCTAAGTTAAATAGTGTCTTACTCCATCTGTGACTCCACTAACTTTCATTAAAGTGTTATGGAGTAACCACATGTAAAGCTACAAGCAATTGATATCATCTAGGTAATTTTCATAATAAATGTATTTCTGATTGCTGCAATAAATAATTGTTGCCAGATAGAGTGATGTAAAATGAGTTTCCATAGAAAGCAGAACATTTGTAATCGTGCTGTTTTTTATTGTTTAGGGATACTATCCATAATATGGAAAACGTGTCTGCGTGCAAGGGAAGATCTCCAGTGGAAGGGAGGGAGGGAGGGACGGAGGGAGGAAGGCAGGCAGGAAGGCAGGCAGGGAGGAAGGCAGGGAGGAAGGCAGGAAGGCAGGCAGGAAGGAAGGAAGGAAGGAAGGAAGGAAGGAAGGAAGGAAGGAAGGAAGGAAGGAAGGAAGGAAGGAAGGAAGGAAGGAAGGAAGGAAGGAAAGAAGGAAAAGAGGGACAGAGGGAGAGACGGAGGGAGGGAAAGATCAGAAAAGAGAGCTGGAATCACAGAATCATATAGAATGGCTTGTGTTGGAAGGGATCTCAGGGATCATTATGTTCCATTATGTTCCAACCCTCTGCCACAGGTCGGGCTGCCAGCTGCTAGATCAAATACTAGATCAGATTGCTCAGGGTCCCATTCAACCTGGCCTTGGACACCTCCAGGGCATCATAGCCTCTCTGGGCAACCTGTTCCTGCACCTCACCGCTCAGTAAAAAACTTTCCCGTAACATTCAAATCTCCCCTCCTTTAGTTTAAAACCATTTCCCCTTGTCCTATCACTATCTACCTGTGTAAAAAGTTGATTTGCCTCCTGTTTATAAAACCCCTTTAATAACGGAAGGCCACAATGAGATCTTGCAGCCTTCTCTTTTCCAGGCTCAGCAAGCCCAGTTCCTTCTTCATAGGAAAGGTGCTCCAGCCTCTAACAGTCATTTTCTTTGCTCTCATGCGGACCCTGTCCAACAGCCCCATGTCCTTTCTGTGTTGCAAGCCCCAGACCTGGATGCAGTACTCCAGCTGGGGCCTCATGAGGGCAGAGTAGAGGGGAACAGTCACCTCCCTGGCCCTTCTGGCCACCCCTCTTCTGGTGGAACACAGGATACCATTGGCCTTCCAGGCTGCAAGTGCACACTGCTGGCTCATGTTAAGTTTTTCATCGATCAGAACACCTAAGTCCTCAGTAGAGCTGAGATTTCTTCTCCCAGTCTGCATATATATCTGGGATTGCCTTTACCCACATGCAAAACCTTGCACTTTGTTTTGTTGAATAAGTACTAAATTAAAATTATTTTGTTATTCTGTCTTTCTTACTGCAAGGCTGAAAAAAAAAATCTATTTTATGCACTGAAATAAAGATAAAAATATTTTGAAAAGTTCCTGAAAGGTTGTCTGTTTACCACAAAGCTTGTTGAAATATTTTTTTTTTCTTACTGAAAAACCACTGAGATATCTAAGCAGCTTAAAAACTGCAGCAGTCATCTGGGTTGCATCCCTCCAAGTGTCATTTAAAGTAACCAAGTTTGAAATGTAGTGAGATCAGAGCAGAGTCCTCTAAAAAAAAAAAAGAAATCTCTTTAAGTGAGATGCAACTCCAATAAAAACTAAATAAACATATGTGACAGAAAAACAGGAAAATACATAAACTAGTTATTGCTGACTGTTTCTGGGATCCTGTTCACAGCACTGACTTACTGGTCCAAAACTCAGTTTCCAAACTATTGAAAAGAGTTCCAGAATGAGATATTTGAGCAACCTGAGCCTTGGGAGTACAGCAAGGCATGAAGTTTTCAAAGCTCAGTCTACTTTTTCTATCCAGTAGAAAATTAAGGACTTGAGCATGAGATAAAAGTATTGCCATGTCACTTCTATCAAAATCTATGAAAGCAAGGCAATTATGACCTCTCTGAGTATGTGCAACCTTACATTTTGAAAAAAAATTAAAAAAAAAAAATTGAGTACCTAGCAAAATCACATGCTGAGCTTTGTTTAATGCCATAATTATTCACAGAAACCTTTGGAAAGTACTTACAAAATCAGTGACTCAGAAGAAGTTACCTATACATTGTTGTTCCCATACCTGCAGCACTTGTTTAAACCAGGTCTCCTGCACTTTGCCATCAGCATTTTATCTCTCATTTACACCTTACTGTTCAATAAACAATTTACCCCTAACTACTGATCTTTCCTTTTAACTGCCTCTCAAAAAATGAAAATTCCCACTGAGTTAGTATGCTGACACTTGGTGTTCAGGATGTGACTCTACACAGCTTCAAGGCAGAGAGGGTCACTCTCCTCAGTGGCATCTGGGCACTACACTGACTGAATTCATAACTCACCTGTAGTGACTGAGCTTGATGGTACAGAACAAGCATTTGCAAGTAGAGTTTCTTCCTAAGCTGGCTGCTAAACCTGCCTCCAGCAAGCTTCACTCCCTGATACTCTCCTGTGAGAAAGCCACAGGTATACACTACCCGGTAAGAAAGTGAGATTGTTTGTTAATGTACAATTAGGAAAACTAGGAGTCAACACACTCCTCTTCAGAGTCATTTACAGCAGATTCAAGAAGAGCTAAAGGTTGTCAAGGAGCTGGGACTCTGTCCCAGGGCAGAAGACACCTGGAAGGGATGGAGAGGCGGCAGGAAAGAATATGGCACAAACATCTTTCAAAAGATAAGTAACCATGCCACAAGGAAGCTTAGAGCTAAAACCTCTAATTCTTCATGCAGCATTTTCTTTTCATAATTACAGGCTCAGGTGACTTTGAGGATATATTCTGAAAAACAAAATCCCTCTTGGTTTTAAGTAGGTTGAATACATCAAATCATACAAAATGAGAAGTACCAGTTTGCTTCTCTTGGGGCAATATTGTTTCAAGGGGAAAATGAAGCAGAAGTATTTTTATTGGTGCCAAAGAGCAGTGTGAAAGAGAAGGTGAAAACACTACTGCTGTCAGAATTGGCTATATTTTGAAAAGAGCCCGGAATTAGGTATGTTGCTGTCACAGGAGCTGTTCTGACACTGGCCCAGTGTAAGCAGCAAAGTAGAGGCGCATATCCATCATATCCATCTGGAAGTCATATCCAGATCATCTGAATTGTATATGTGCCATCTTTAAGCAGAAATTTGGTAGGTAAATATCAGTGTGATTAGGGTTGACTGTTTTTGATTGCTAACTCTTAGAAATTCTGAAAATCATTAATTATTTCACTTAAGAAATCTCCAAAGTATCTCGAAAGAACCCAAGCACACACTCTCAATATAAGCACAAAGTATTAAGTGTGTCAGTGCATGAAGCTGGAATCTCACTTTGCAGCAAAAATTTTTCCATGAATTCAAGGATATGCAAGAAGGCACCAAGTCTTTGTGAAGGTCTATTCTAGAAGACACTTTCACATGGGATGCACGGAACTCAATATAAGGCACACTAGTTGAGGTAATTCTCTTCTGAAACACTGAAGGAAGAGGCAGAGTAGGAGGACAAGTACTATTTTAAATTATTGGGAAATATTAAAATTAGTGTTAAGTGATACTGGTACCATTTACAGCTCTGGTTTTTTGGAAGCAGGGTGAGATATGACACAGACAAAAGCAGTGTTTCCAAATTGGGAAGCAGGATATTAAAGTAGCTATGTGAGCCCTGCAGCAAGAGTCTTTCAGAAAATATATGGAAAGCTATTCCCTAGTTTAATAACTATTTAATAACTATTATTGTTATCATAATATAGCTGGAGTGAAATTAAGGATTAGAAATGGGCATTTTCTAAAAATCCTCACTCTTCTGATTCAAACTGAACTAAGCAACTTCACTGAAGTGAATTTCCTCAATTGCAGTGTCACGATTTCCTACAGCATCTCAGGCAAAGCTTGTAAATAATTTAGGAAAATACTCACTTGGCTGAGGAATACCACTTAACCCTGTTTGGAAGGCATAATTGAGCTTTTCACAGTACACAGGACTTTAGATGTTTCCTTCTAAACAAAAACTCCTCTCTCATCACACACACATATACAGGACACATAAGTCCTTCAAATTAATGTTCTTACCTTGTCTTTATTTTCAGAGTCAGAATCCTCAAGTTTGGTCCGAATAACAAAGGGAGTAGATAACCTCAGGAGGACTCGTTCAAATGTGGCACTGATCTTAGGAGAAACTATGTCAAAGCAGTCTTGGAATTTCAGAGTTTTGTGGGTATCACATCTGAGCTGCTTCCTTAGACCTTCTCCCAGCTGAAGAACAAACATGTTTTGATCAAACATCAGGTGAAAGGGGAACGCTCTGCAGAAGGTGCTGATACTAATCCTCAGATCTAAGGGAGACTGGGAAGTTCCTGATGGAAGTGCTTTTGTGATATTTGCATTTTCGTGTTCTTTGATAAGGAAAGTCAGACAGCTGCAATTACCTGGGTTCGTCCCCTCTGAACACAGTTTATCATTAGTGACCTGTTCTACTTCCACGTCCAATCGGTAAATTTTCTTTGCTGCTGCCTTTATCATTCCCACCATTGCAAACCCTACAATCTGATGTGGGTGAAAGTAATGAAGCATGAGATTGCCTTCAGGGAGCTCTTTGCATAGGAAAGATGGGGATTCCAGGGTGGCCTGTCTTCCAAATGAAGTTCTAATGTGCTCCAGCAAAGCATCAAAGCCATTGAAGAAGTCTTGAAGGGTCCCACCTACAGCTCGAAGAACTCTTTCATTCTCATCAAAGCAGATATTGAAGAATTCCTCCCCAAATTTTTCTTGCATTTCCTCAAATTTCAGACCTATAGGACAACAAGACACTCATGTCAAATACATACATAGCTACTGTGTCACATCATCCCTTTGTTTGTTTTCTCAGTATTTTTCCAAGTGATTAAGAGTGTTTTTTTCACTGTTTATTTACCCATGGAACCACTGTTTTCTGTGGTAGTTAGGAATGCCTGAATGGTACCCTTGGATGCCTGAAACATGCTGCTTCATTCTAGTAGTCATTTTTGTCTGCCATTTCAATCCCTCATGCTTTCAACTCTGGATCCTAACCAGCTAAGTGTGAGGTTTACATTTGTCTTGTCTCCTCTTCCCTGCTGGAAGCCAAAACACACTATAATTTCCCTAATTTTTAACTTTCCCTTAAGTGTGTGTCACATGTAGTCTATTGTGCAAATACACCCAGCCAAGGGTGTATACCAGCCATTGCTGATGCAGACATGGGAGAGGTTTCTGCTTTTATAGCCCCTCTTGTTTACTGTTTTTCAAAGGACCAAGCTCTCACCAGCTTGAATAATGAGTTTCTGGAATGCTAATTTCAACTTTAATGAAAAGTGCGAAGTGAGGCTTTCAAAAGCAGTGCAAAGCCATACACTTGAGTAGCTGGATTTTTTTGTTGGTGGTGGTGGTGGTTTTTTCTATGGACAAAATATTTTTCTCATTATAGATATGGGCACTGCAAGAAAATAGAAATAAAGAATTGTTACTTTTTTGTTGCCTGAAAAGGAAAACAAAACCTCCCTATTTTGAGCTTCTACATTCATCTATTTTTTGAAAAATCCATGCCCCTTAGAACTTTCTAAATTGCTATTAGTTGAGACAGGTCTGTTATATCTCTAAATGTCACTTCAGGTCTCCATCAGGGCAATACAAAAGGTTTTGATTTACAGAAGTGATAAGGCTGGTATTGCACAAGGGAAAGGAAATATCTGTAATAGATGTCTCTGGATATAATTTTTTATCAAAAGCTACCCATTTTTTATTTACTTTTAAAACTAGAAAAAAATATATTTTTTTAAGATGGTTATTGAACATTTTCTGTCTTATTTTAGGTAGGATATACTCTGTTAAATCTCATCTGACATTAATCCTATATCACGTAGCATAGTTACAAAATTCATCAGCTATATTTGTGTTTTACTAAGCTGTGATAGAAGAAAAAGAAGTATAAATAAGCTGTATGTGAATTACAAATATCCTGCAAGAAATAAATTACACAGTTCCTCCAGTGTATTGAATTTATTAAATTCTACTGAACCACTCAAACACCTTAAAATTGATCCTGAGTTCTAACAGAAATGAAGAGCAATTTCATTCCTCAGGGTGCAATAGGCCCTTTATTTTAATATGTATTCAGCATGCTTTATAACATAGATACGATCCAAATGGATCACCAAACTTCTTACTGTTTGTTTAAATTACTTGTAGGCTTTACAATTTGGAAGAATAGTGTGAAAAGAGTTTTTCATGCCCAAGAGGTATAGCAGGACAGAAGTCACTCATCTGTCATTTGCTGACTATAACCTTTGATCATCTCAAGGAAGGCCCATGCACATAGGCAGAGATACAAGGATCATATTTACAAGGGATTAGTGTATTCCATACCTTTGCAAACCATCTGCAATGAGAGTTTTGTTTGGCCCTTCAGCATGATTGATAGCAGATTAAAATTCTAAAATTACATATATAAACAGGACAACATGACAAAGCAATAGGAATAGTTTGGGAAAGTTCAACTGAAGGCCATTACTCATAATGAACTTTGGTCACTAAAGTAGGTTATTACAGTAATATTCCCAGGATCTTTTGTGCCCACAGATGGTCAGATCATCAGCTAAGCCAGAAAAAATTACCTCTGGTACATAATGCCTGCTAATATCCCAATTCAGAGAACAGCATGCCAATTACTGACTCATTATTACTACATCAGCATAAAAAAGTAATGTAATATTTTCCATAAAAATTCTCACTGCGACCACAAAATAATTAAATTCTAACCAGTATCCAATGTCAGCATTGGATATTAATAACAAGAATTTAAGAAGTTATCATTTTCATGGGTACACACAAACATACATACATGTAAATCTTATTTTTCTGTAGAGTGTAGAGTGAACTTCAAAAGAAGTATGGTTGTAGAAATGAGCACTCACAAGACTTCAGCAGGAGCATCCAAGGTTGTAAGATTGCGGAGGCCCAAATAGTATGGGAACACAAATATGCAGCATTCCTTAACAATAGCATGGATGAAGGAGCTGTCTTTCAAGCATATTATAACATTACAGTTAAAACAGTAGTTTGCATTAGCACCACTGACCAAAACCAGGGTAAGTAGGACTGGTAATCCAATACCCCATACTCTAATGCTACGTTGGTAAGTCTCGTCTTACAGTCAATGAAAGGAGCTTTATCTTAGTATTTGGCCAAAGATTTTGTTGACTATCTTAGATTGGTCCATTGTTTGCTCTAGAAGACTGTCTGTTCAGTCTGGGCATAACATGTTAACTCCAAACAACATGAATTATCCAATTATATTCAAGTCAATGATCTGACTCCAGGATGTGCCTCTACTTTTAAAAACATTCTAGTTCTGAATTGAGTTACACATAGTACCAGCTGAAATTAGATTAACTCAGAATAGAAAAATGTGTATGCACAAGATAGACCAAACTGCTGGTCTGTTTTAGTCAGGAATTTTATCTCTAATAATAGACATGATGAAACACTGAGAAAATTAAATAAATACAAACAACCTCCTAAAACAAACATCCTGCATGCAGAAATGTGATGAGGAAGACAAGGGCCCGTTTGGAATTAAATCTGGCTACAGATGTCAAGGGCAACAAGAAGGGCCTTTTCCAATACATCAGCAATGAAAAGAAAACTAAACACTCCCAATCATTCTGAAAGATCATGGCAATCAGGAAAGATGCCTGAGCACTACAAGAAAGCAAATGTAATCCCGATCTTCAAAAGGAGCAAGAAGAGGGATGCAGGGAACTACAGGCCAGTCAGCTTCTCCTCATTCCTGGAAAGGGGATGGCACAGCTCAGATTGGAGGCCATCTCTAAGCATGTGGAACAGAAAGAGGTGATCAGGAATAGCCAGCATGGATTCACCAGAGGAAACCTGATTGCCTTCTACAGTGAGACAACTAGCTGGACAAATGTAGGAAGAGCAATGGATGTTACCAACCTGGACTTAAGCAGGGATTTTGACACTGTCTGCCTTAATATTATTACAGGCAAGCTCAGGAAATGTGCTGCCATTCAGACAGCTCTTGATTGGCTGGATACTTGGGCAGGGAAGAAACTCAGGAAATTGAACATTGGCAAGTACAGGATCCTGCACTTTGGGAGGAATAACGCCGTGTGCCACTACAGGCTGGGTGCTGACCTGATGGAAAATAGCCTTGTGGAGAAGGACCTGTGGGTCCTGATGGACAGCAAGGACCATGAGCCAGAAAGGTGCCCTTGTGGCCAAGAGCCCAGTGGTACCCTGAGGAACATTAGGAAGAATATTGCCAGCAGGTCAAGGGAGATTGTCCTTCCACACTATTCAGCTCTGATTAGGCCATGCTTGGAGTACTGCGACCAATCCCAAATACCATAGTACAAGAGGGACAAGGCGCTCCAGAAGCAAGTTGAGCAAAGAGTTATTAAAATGATCATTGAACTGGAGCATCACTCATATGAGGACAGATTGAGGAAACTAGGCCTTTTAGCCTGGAATAAATAAGACACAGGGGAGATCTAATCATTGTGTATTTAAAAGAAGGATGTCAGGAGGATGAGTGTGAGGCCAGACTCTTCTCAGTGGTGCCCATTGATAGGATGAGAGGTGATGGGCACAAAATGAAACAAGGAAAGTTCTGTCTGAAAACCAGGAAAAAGTTTCTTACTGTAAGGGTGACAGAGCTGTCCAGAGAGGTTGTGTCTCCTTCCCTGGAGATGTTTAAAACCTCTCTGGACTTGACAATGAATAATGTGCTCACTATCTCTGCTTGAGCAGGGGGGCTGGGCTATATAGATGATCTCCAGAGTTTCCTTTCAACTTCAACCATTCTGTGATTCTATGATTGTGTCACCTTCAGTTAAAGAAAAAAAAAAAACAAAAAAACAGTCCTTGAATGTTTTTGTATTAGCAGATTTTTGTCATGAGTATAATCTTGTCCTAAACAGTCTTGTCAACACAAAGCCAGGTGGCAGTTCCAGATTCCAAAGTATAATTTAAAAATAGTAGGAAAAGCAACATTTATTTCTCAATAAAAGAAAGAATTTTATGTGTACAGGCTAATGCTGAAGTGACCCTAGTGGCCTCCTCCTTTGTCTGGGTTAAAGGAGGCTGAGGGGAGACTCTATTGCTCTCTTCCAGTATCTGTAAGGTGCTTACAGAGGGAGTGGGGCAGGTCTCTTCTCACTGGTGACAGGTGACAGGACGAGGGGAAATGGCCTCAAGTTGTGCCAGGGTAAGTTTAGGTTGGATGTCAGAAAGGGTTGTGAAGCACTGGAATAGGCTGCCCAGGGAGGTGGTTGGGTCACCATCCCTGGATGTGTTTAAAAACCATTTGGATGTGGTGCTCAGGGACATGATTTAGCAGAGGGTTGTTAGTGTAGTATGGTTAGGTTGTGGTTGGACTCGATGATCTTTAAGGTCTTTTCCAACCTGAGCTATTCTATGATTCTATTCTATGATTCTAATACCAGTATCTAATTACTGTAAAAAGACTTTGATCTTACTTGATTATCATAATGAATTTATATCATCCTGGAAACTCAGGCAGTATTTTTCTTATTATCATTTTACTGCCTTTATTCAAATGCAATAACATCATCTTATGCCGTTATATATGACTTTGACACAACTGTAAAATTTGCACTATATTTCCCTTACTATACTTCCCTTGCATCATCCAGTGCCCCTATAACTTTCATTTCATAAAATAAAAAAGACAGTTATTGTTTAAAAGTATTCCTCATGCTTGTTCACCATAATACTTGTTCTATTGAATTTTTAATGGGGCATTTTTTTCCTTGTTAAAGGTGTTGAAGTTTTCCTCCAACAAATTCCGGTTAGAAATACTGTATTAAAAAAAAATTGTAATTACTACACTCAGTGAGGACTCAATCAACTGTGCTCAGGCTACCCGTAAAGGATTCTGCACCAAATTACTGACACAGAAAGCTCAACTCAGCTATAAAGAAGAGGCAGCATTATTTTTTTGTTCCTTCATATAGTACTTTCAGTAGCAGCTGTGGGCAAAAGCAAACTGCCTGAAGCATGGCAATCATTGTGTTCCCGCCATCGCATCTTGGAAACCTCACTACTTCTATTCGCACAGAGTTTATCAAAGAACTGCAATTAGTAAATTGATGTTTCCTAAGAAGGCAGATACAGTTTGCTTTGTGTTATCTCTAGAGATCAAACAGCAGTAAGAACAGTTTTAAATTTGCTTTTGCATTAAACCTATGTCTTTGAATTTACATAGAGAGGAGAACTTCATTTCTCAGAAAGAATACAACTGTAATGAAATCTAAAAACATTTCCCATGAAATGCAAAATCATCTATCATAGTTCCCCACATGTATAAAAGGCTCAATTCAGATGATTAAATATATAAATCTAATGTTATAAATACAAAAATTTAATCCCACTTGAAACTTCATTGGGCATCCAAGACATCTGCAAAAGGACAAATATATAGTTAAATCTGCCAGAATAGAGGCTTATGGAAGGCCTATATGTTTCTGAAGGTTTAACATAGGCTAAACTAGATACTCCACAGCACCTAAAATAATGACAAACTCCTACAGTTAGTCAATGAATCATGCCCAAAATGTCTTCTACTTTATAAATAGACTTCTACAAGATGGTAATGTACATCATAACTTCAAGCTGCTCAATACTGCACTGATAGTACATCTGCTTTCCAACAATAAATAGTTCTGGTTTGAGAACAGCAAAGTCTAAGGCCATTTGGTATCAGTATTTGTCCTTTTCTAATTTAGATGTATTCATCTCAGTTTTGAAGTCTCATTAACTACGTGGGTTTTATTTAGATTACTTTTGTGTTGCCAGTGCAGTGTAATATCTGCTAAATAAAAGGAGCCTTATGTGTAAAGATTCGACACCCCTGAGGATGGATGCAGTTCCAAGTACTACTAAAATCCATTAGTCTCTCCAGTCCTTTGGGCCATGTAACATTTCCTTTTACACCATTTGTAAACCAACAGCTTTAATTATAAATCAAGCAGTATATCCTAAATTAGTTGCATCCTAATGACTATCTGCAGTTGTTAGCTCAAAGGAAATGGAAAGTGAAACTAATTTATGTGCTTTAAATATACAAGCATTTACAATTTTCAGGCATCTGTTTAGCAGAGAGTGTGCCAAGCCTTTGTCCATCTTTTCCATTTACATCACTTGATCTAATCTCATCGTAGGCTGAGATCTGTCCTGATATCTTCTTTTTAATGTATTTCCTGTCTTCTCAAATGCAGTAGTTGTCAGCAACAGTGTGCCACTATTGTTTAATAGTTACCAGAAAGATCTCAAGTTTATTCCTTTTTAACTAGAAAATATATTGAGATTTTCTTAGTTTCAGAAAAGAAACACAGACATTCCACTCTGACAAATGTACAAAGAACAAAAGGCTTTTATGGAATTATGTGGGCTAAATGAAGGAACAACCTGCCGGTTATATCTAGAAATGACATGATTTGCTCAGTATAAAGAAGCCTAGAGCTCATATCTTCTTTAGTAGTGACAAGCAAATTTCACCAAGGGAAAGAGCTCCCTGAATTCCCACACCAACAGTGAATTCCACCTCCTCCTCAGCATCTCAGGGAGGCTGAATCTAGGTATGCAGTTTATCTTCCTGATGGTACAGGGCTATAATGTGGAATCCCACATATTATATCGCCAGAAGATCCAAGAATTCTTGTATCCTTGTCATATCATCCTTCACATGGAAGATGCCCAAAAAGTTATTCACTTAGTAATGACAGAGACTCAAAGTCCTCATACCACTAACAGAAGCAAGATCAAGATGGTGAGCTTTATTACTAATCTGTAAGAGCAAAATATCTGACAGGAAAACTTTGTACAATGAATTTAAGTCCACCTGTGGAGCTAACTTAGCTGCCATTGATGTAAGCTGTGCATTCTTTAAGGAAAAAAGGTTTGTGCTTTAAGGTTTTAGAAGCCAATTTTTTAGAACAGATTTAAAAAAAATTGTGTTGCACAAATTAATTAATTGAATAAAAGATGGAAGGAAATGCAGTAGAAATCCACATAATATGCTTGATGATACAAATCTTGTCATTACTCCTGAAATAACTTCAGTTTACCAGCAAAAATCTGCTCTGAACAGTCTACCTAGTCAGATAAAGGTATTGTCTGGGTCAACAGGATAAAACATACCAGCATTTATTCATTGAAATATTTTATTTTAAAATGCTCTCTTTGAGGCTGGGATTTTTATTTTGCCCAGTTTCCAACCTACTGTTACTTATTTTTCCTTTGTATAATATGCTTATGAAGGACACTGTAAAAAGTATGCATGCACACTTAAAAAAAACAGAGCCCATCATAAGCTGTTGGTACTATTATGAAAAGAACACTGAGTTAAATTAAATATTTCAGTCACAGAAGCTGTCACCAGAAGGGAAACTGTACCACTGATCTGGTATCAAACATGGTTCACAGCATTTGAGCATGATGGACGTGGCTCCATTAATTACTGCGGATTAAAGCAGGAATACCTCTATTGATGTCTAGACTTGTAGCAGGAATAACTTACCAAGAAGATGAGAAGAACCAGGCCCTTCCACTGCAGGAAGGTGGTATTGTACTTTTGTCATGACTTGACAGGTGGAAAATTCCAGTGTTCACACATGATGAATTGTATGCATTGAGCTGGGAGTGCAGCATGCAGCCAGTACTGTGCTGTGAGCAGTGTGAGCACCAGGACCATGGTGGAAAATGTGCTCACAGTCTTCTAGGCTTACTAATGATCTCAGCATTCACTGGATGAATAAGGAATGCCAAATGACTCTTTTACAGGCAGTTACAGGGTCAGGAGAGGTGATTTGTGTTGGCATTATCTAATGTAAGAGATCAGGAGGTTGATGCCAAGCATCTGTAAGAATACATTTCCCTGCAGCACTAGACAGTGAATCCTTGCTACCACTCTTATAAATAACTTGAGTGCTAGATTTGGTTCAGCAGTTTCTCTAGCCTCCACCACAGTTAGATTCATTCTCGTTCTTCTGTCAGCAATGCCAATTGTTCCACATACCCATCTCAGTAGTAATGTACTTCTTGTACAGAAAATTCTCTCACTAACCCCTATTCAACCAGAAAAATAACTGTATGTGAGAATTAATTACGCAGCCTCCAAAGGAACTAACAGTTACAATAAAAAACTGGTTTTATTGCTCGTTGTTAGTGCTTTGCTCAGATGGAATTTTTTTTTTTTTTTTAACTATAAACTCAGATTTTATCTTCAAAGAAGTGCTTTTCTAAGAGTCAATCCCTGCAAATTTATTTCCAACAAAACCCATTTTACTTATTCCCAAAGACAGTGACATCCAGATGCTGCTTATAAACTGGGATCCCAATGAGCTGATCTGCCCCCAACACAGACTGTGAGGATACCACCGAAAAAACAGCTACACATCACCACTCAGCCATGCTAACAGATCAGGACTGACATATTGATTTAAAAGCACTCTGAAGCCAAAAGTATTTGTAACTATTTTTGGAATACATATATTGTTTCATGGTGAACTAAGTACTGAAAATCTAATTTGTCAGGGAGTTATTAACAGTATTAATATGTATGTGTTATTACATAAAATCATTACTTTGTTTTTGTCCTGCCTTACAATTCATAGCATTTATTTCTGAGAGTTAGTAATCAATCATATAAAGATGCAAACAAAATATGCTGTAATTAATCCTGGACATATTTACAATTTAGTGTGTTCTCTTAGTGGCCCAAACATGGAAGGTGCCAAGCACAGCCTCTTCCCACAGCTTTGAACAGCAGCTAAAGGCACTCAGAACCTCCCTGAAGGTGCTTATCATCTTGCAAAATAAGGCACTTGACAAAGGAAAAAACACTTTGATCACTGAAAAAACATTCATCTCTAAGCAAGAACACAAAAGCTGTTTCACAGAATGCACCACATCTGTTTAACTGTTTGAGATAGAAAAGACTGACACACAAATCAGATAGCCTCAGGAAGGAATTTCTTGTCAGGAGGATACAGTGGTCCACATTGCAACATGGGTAGACTATGACCTTACATTATTCTCCTGACACAAAAAGTACATCACGTCTTTAATTAACTTATTAGATGATCTTAAAGGTCCCTTCTAAGCCAAACCATTCCCTGATTCTATGATTCTGTGAATTATCATCTAAGGTCAGACTTCACTCCTATGTCTCCTGTTGAAGAAAGAATTCTAGCTGCATAATGCCATAAAAAGTCTGCAGATTTATCCTGTATATTACTGTATATTAGGTCAAAGGCGACTTCCAGTGAACCAAAATTACATCTTTTGCACCTTCCACCCTAATTTCAGCAGCTTACTGAAGGCTCCAAATGAAAAGCAAGGAAATTTTGAACATTAGAAGAAGTATAACCTAAGGCTTAAAGCTTGATCTGTCTGTAAAGTTTCCTGACTGCAAAGTCATTCCAGATTGCCTTAAAGGCATAAAATATATGTAGAAAAGGGCATGATATATCAGCTACTTATGAAGCTGCTTCCTGAATTTTCTTTGTTGGAACAATGCCTTGGTTCTTTGTTGGTGATAAGATGGTCAATAAACTTTTCAAATGAAGTAAACAAATTCCCTTAAAAAAATGCATACCAAGTACATTAGCTGTACACTGGAGAATTCCTGAGACATCTTCAGTTTCTTCGTTGCCAGAGCAGTCTGTGTAGGTGCATCTGTTTGATATATTGTGAAAGTTCTTCTCTGCATCCCTGTACCTAGAGTAAAAGGGTAAAAAATATATATCATCTCTTTATACAAATGTAAGATAAATAACTTTCAGAAATGGTAATAAATGATGTCGCTAACCCCCCCATCTCTTCCCTCTTCCCATCAATCCCTTTCATACATATTCTCACATAGATGACACTGGATTAATAGCATGTGGTATTATACTAGAATCTGGAATATTATCTCCAGTGAGAATAAATACATGAGAAAGAAGGTGTTTCCAAAGGGTTCAGGCATGAGGGAAGGGTATCAGGCATATCTGTCACGTCACCCCTGCTGTGATGCTCTAACAAAGTTGTACAGCAAACTCCAAGCAAGATGTTTATGAGACAATGGAGAATAACTAATAAGAAGAATAAATCTTCCATGTCACATTACAAGATTTATTCTTGCATTGCAAGAATAAAACCTAGCTTTCTCAGTGGATTATCTTCTGAAGAAACAAAAGTTGTGTTAAAGCCTGCTAGAGAAAAATTAAAAAGAATCCCACCACTGCTGAAATGTACAGAGCTGTGCTCAGGCCAACAGGAAAGAACTGACATCTAAATTATTCTGTTTGATTTAGCTTTGCAGCATTGTTTTTCCTTAATTCAATGGAAACAGAACAGAAGCTCATACTACGTTTAAAACAAAGCTTTATGCAGGTGATAATGAGGACAGAGGAGCCAATACAAGTGAAGAAAATATTACAGCAGAGTGACAATGCTCTTGGCAAAATATGCAATTGATTTAGCTCAGTGCTCAGAGAAATGATTTTTTAAATGAGTATTTTATTAACAGTTTTGCTGTGCTTTCACACTTTGTTTATACTTCATAAATCATGAACAGCACTAAAGACTGGACTTCTCACCTGATCATGTCCTGAAAAGCCCAGAACCTGATTTGCCAGCACCTGTGGAAAAGGCTACGATGGATTCAGAGCTGCCCATCAGGTTACTCCAACAACAAACTGGTCTTTCATGTGGAGCAAAGCAAAGGCTGATAGTACACTCTACAGTGACATTCACAGAGGCCCCTGGTGACACCAGGCCATGCCAAAGGACAGCAGCCCTTATTCTGCTTCAGCAGCAGGCCATGTCCTGTCCCAGTGCCTGAGCTCAAAGTCACAGCCCAAAGCCACAACCGAGCAGGAGATGAGGCCTCTGCAGGCTGCACCACAGGCTTCTTGGAATGGCACCACGGCCATTCCTCACCTCTGCTCTTGAGAAGGACAAGGGATTTAATAAGCATTTATGGTGTACGGGTGTCATTACAAAGGTGCTGGCTGTGGGGCTACACGGGCCTCTGTGAGGAAAGGCTGCCCCATACTGAGCATGGCTGCAGCCCAGCAGCCATGTTGATGGTGCCTCTGGGAAAGCATGTTTAATAAAGGGCAAAACAACACCTGGTGATGTGAGGAACGAGACAAAAGAGTGTGAGAAACAACTGCATCAGCAGCAGGGGCAGCCAAGGAGGATGGGTAGGAGGTACCCCGGGTACTGATCAGCTATTCCCCTGTGGCTGGTGGAGGACTCCGCTTTGGAGCAGGGGGATACGCCAAGGAGTGTTCATGTTGGAGCAGAGCAACAGTGTTTATGGCTGACCTCAGCACCCCCTGCCAATGCCTTCCATGGCTCAGAGGGAGGAAGGAAAGGAGGCAGGGATAAAGGAGTGAGGTTGAGCCTGGCAGAGGGCGGCCCACCACAGTGCGTATAAGGACAGCACAAATATAAGACATTTTCTACAGACAGATTCTACTTTCACTGTGATTTATTTTAACCTATGCAAGTGTTCAAAAACTTGAGTCAAAATGTATTGTAAATCACAGGAATTACAGGTTTCCAGAATGTCCTGTTCTTAAACTCTGTCCACTGAAATAAGAATATCTAAACAACGTGTGGCCATAAATTATAGGCAGCATTGTTTTTGCACATATGCTTCTCACAAGGCTCTGTCTCACCCACTGAATCTCTTGACATGAAGCTTCACACAATTTTTTTCACAACTGAAAATATTAGCAGCCAGAAGGTTTCTCCCTTTCTTTGTCCCATAGTGGACATCATAATTGCCTGACAAGACTGGCTGCCTTCTCTTGCCCTCAGGTGCTATCCAGGCATGCTAACATTGCAAGTCACCTACCAAGCTAGGGCTCCCTTTGAATTTTAACCAAACGCTGAGAAACAGGCAAAGGAAATTTCCTCCAGTGCACTGAGCTTCAAAACAATGTCATAAATCCTAAAAAGACCCTAACTGCAGGTTGAAAAAAACTTCCCTTACATCTTTGTAATTGAATTCAGAGGACAGCATTCCTCATTTGTCACATGGCACTGCCATTTAATGGCTACAAACAAGCATCCATTGTATTCTGTTAGAAATGTGAGCTGTCTGCAAAAACCAAAATACTTGAGTAGGTAAAGGAAAGGTTGTAAGGAGATTATTTTGATCAATGAAAGAATGTCTCAGGTTTCTATGATGACTGTTGCTATCACTATATTTAAATCCTCAGTTATCTCTTAATTTTCTTAATAAACTCTTAGGAGATGATTTTCTGCCCTGCCGTGCTTCCACCCACACACAAAAAACAAGTATATAACCATACACATATGCACCAAAAAATTATGTACAATTTTGCAAGACTGGGGCCTCAGCTCACAGAACAAATAATTTTTCCAGAAATCTCATCTGGCTCTATGAGAAGCAAACTGGAGTAGGTGCTACACTTTTATAAAAAGATTCCCTATTCTCCTCAGACAAGAAATGTCACTGTTAATAAAGTAGTCGTGGTGTGATGGGATTGCACAGAAAAAGGACTGGGCAGCAGTTTATCACTAATATCCATTGTATGTGCTGCTACTCCAGAGCTTCCCTAGCAGTTTGTAAGGAAAATTAAAGTCAGCCCAGGCTGTGACTTTGAAAGCATAAAGGAAAGCACATCCATGCATCTTTCATTACCTCAAAGTAAGACTTACCCAATAACTTGATGCTCAAAATACTGCAGTGTCCTTTGAAGAGTTTGCCGAATAGTCTGAGGCTATGGAAGAATAAAAAAAAAACCACAAAAACATAAGATTAGGGAAGTGTGGCACAGTCTAATTAACGTATCTTCCAACACACTATTTAATTCTCCAGCTTTACTCCTTCTTGTCATCAACCTGCCAGGTGCCCATCATAGCAACAGAAATATTATTCATTCCTAGTATCTTAGTTCTTCATTAAGTAAGAATTAATTTTAAAATGAGATGCAAAATTTATGTTGCTTACAAAGCTATTTGTCCATAACAAAGTAACCACTTCACTATTAGCTCTCACTAATTACCACATGCCAATTATTTCATTACTTTAAAATAATTAATTTTAAATAGCCCACAAGTAAATGCTATAATTTTCTGATAAACATATCTCCAGGAAAAGGCATAGGGTCTTGAAACTTTCTATGCTCCCTAGAGCATTTTACATTAAAGAATGTTATAAAGACGTAACTTATTTTGGCTTACTTTCCTAGCAAGCCATAATTCTTCCATCATCTTTTAAATCATCCAAACGCTCAAGTTCACCAAAAGAAAATCATGACATGCTTCAAGCATTTTGATGTTGTTTTTATTTTAGTAGGTGTTCACCAAACAAACAACATATGTGCATGACTGTGTTTATTTTCATTATTAATACTACTGTAGTGTTGACCTAACAAAACACTTCTACTACTGACTACTGGTACTGCTGCTGTTCCTATTATTTTGAAATAATGCCTGAGAAATCTTTGGGTAAATCAAGAAAATATAAAATCCATGTCAATCTCTTTAGAATTTTCCAAGTAATTTATGACAAAATATCACTCTTCCAAAATTACCAGCATGTACTAAATCTGAAGTTTTTCACCTGTACATTTTGTCTGGCAACAAGCAGACAAAGGTACCCAATTTGAATTTAAGTATCTTTTAAATATCCTTCCTTCTATACCAAAGGCACAGGAATATTTCGGTAAGACTCAGCGGCAGCATCAGACACTCAAATTTTAGAAATATTTAGTATTTCTTCACCTTTTAGAAATGACATGTAATTGTTTTAGAAAGTAACAGTCAAACAGCCCGATAACTTTAGCCATTTTGTTCTTGAAAAAACACCACTGAGATCTCATTCAAACCACCGTCATCTTTGAAAGTCTCAGATTCTGCCAACTTCTGTACAGATTCAGCTGTTCAAGACCTGACCTTTCTTCCTACCAGTCGCCTGTGAGTTGGCAGAAGGAGGTACCAGAAAAAGCATTAATGAAAAAGATTATACAAGGTTTGTGCAAGTGTAAAAACTTCTTTTTAATGTCAAATTGTAGGAGTTTGTCTGTCCATTGGGATTCAAATGTGTAGAAATGTGTACACTTACAAAAATAAGCTGAAATAGATGTAAACATTGAGATTTTTTTTATACATTTGTGTCAGATAAATCCTTCTCCATTCTGCAAGAGCTGTTTCCTGTGATAAAAAATACTTTTCACTGTTCCTCAGCCTTCATTTCAGAGAATGAAACCCCTTCCCAAACAAACATAATTTAAAGCCCTTCTCACAAGGTTACAAAGCCTGTTGTCAAGGCATCCTCACACCACTTTGTCAGATGAATCCATTCTTCCTCAGCAGTCCCTGCTCCACAGAGACCAAAGCCCTTCCAGCAATACCAGCCACAGAGGCTGCCTCACAAGATGTATCGACTCCAACCTGAGTCTTTCCCACTCATCAGCAGGATCAAACACACCCCAGCTGGGCCCCACAACTTTTGCCCTTGACCTCAAAGACAAGTAGACACTTGTGATATTCTCAAGGGCTCCCCTGGCTGTATCATTAATGCCCACATGCATGAGCAGCAGGGTTCAGCATCCCAACGTCAGATGAGTCTCGGCAGCCAGCATGCAATACCATGTCTAAGCTCCTGGCAAGCAGCATGCCTACTGAGGCAGCAAGATAGCTTGACAGATAAATTTCTCCTCAGGAGACAGTTTGTGATAACTACTACCCTCCTTTCCTTGGAGCCTTTAACAGTGGAGGGTCAGTTGGCTCTGATGCCACGCCACGAGGTGGGTCACCTCTCCCACCTCTCCCCAGAGTACTATCCCTGCTCTGTAACTGCTGAACTGTACTTCATGTAAGAGAAAAAGGGTTTTCTGGTTTGTTGTCAGGAGTAACACAACACCAGCCTCCCCCACGTCAAGAGTTTCCACCCTTGCCCCTTGATATTGTCTCTAGTTGTCTGTCCTTCATGGTAACACAGGGCTCAGGTTCTTGGCTCTGCAAGGTCTCTGAAGAATTGCTCATCTGCCATGACAGCTATACCTGCTCACCATTTCCTGCACCTCCTCTACCTTGCAACTCAACACTGAAAGCAGAGCAGGCCACTACTGCACACAGTAGCAGGCAGTGATTCTGGCCATGGAACCTCATCATGGCAGCAACTGTGACTCAGCCAGACACCTCTGTTTGTGGTGTCCAGCCTACAGGATGCACTTGGAGAGAAATCTGCCCCTCTCACTAGATTTCACTCTGCTCTTATGCAAAACTGAATCAAGACCCCTAAGCTAGATTAGTAATACCCTCAGGGGTGTTTTCAAGACTAACTGGGGAAAATCTTTATGAATGTATTTGTCTAAATGATGATTAAGGGGTTTTTTTTGTTGTTGTCAAATTCAGACAACTTACTTTGAAAAGGAATTCTAGTTTAAACATGCATCATCTGAAAAAAAAGATTAGATTAATTTAATTGCATCTATTTTATAAATGTCTCTCCTTGGGCAATCAAATATAAACTCTCCAATCTCTCCTCAGAAGATGAAGGCCTTAACCTCTTCCCTGACCATTTCCTTTTACCTCTGAAATGTCTCTCGTTTAATTGCAGCACTTTTGGAAAGAAACGGTAGGACTCATTTGCCTAACTGTATGTGCCCAAAGTGATACACTTGTTTGTACAGTTGGCAACTAATAGAAGTCTAAGGACTCAGTCTTCAGAAACATCTGTGTCATTTGCCTAGAGAGGATGTTGACCAATTGCTTTTGACTTGCACATCTTTTTGATGTTCAGGTGTGCACAGACAAACCCCACCAGGTGGTAATAGTACTAAACAGAGTATCCTAGATGACACTGCTGACATTTACAAAAATGCATTTTTGTTCTCCATCCCATTCCTTTTGCATCTTATGATGACCAGCCAGTACTAGAGGAGAAAGGGACTGTAGGAAATGGGCATGTCCCAGCCAAATGAGCAGCAGAAACCAAAAAAGCAGCTAGGCACAGCTTCTCCTTAATCCTAACAAAGCTTCAGAGACTTTTCGTGGTAAAAGCTAAGTGCCTCCTACTGTGCTTCAGAAGTACTTCAACAGTTCTGCTCTTAAAAACTTGAGTGCTAAAAATTTTAAACACGAAAGCTGAAGCTCTGAAAAGCATAATAATCTCAGCTAGAAACCACTTCACTTCTATCTGAATTTCTTCAAGGAACTCCGTCAGGTCAAGGGGCTCCTTCAGACTCCTTGTCTTAGGGAGCTGTGTGTTCCTCCTGGAGGCACGGCACTTTGCACACAGGAGGGGTGAGCTACTGTGACCTCAGCCAAATCAGAACTTCCATGCCGATTGCTTTAAGTGTTTTAAATTTGTAGTCTTCAATCACTAACTCAGCAGATGTGTAAGGTTTTAATTGAGGGTTTCACTGCTGAACTGTCATTAATGAAAAACACTTATTTTTCTGTATTTCAAAAACAATTCTAGCAAAGTTTCTGTGGTTAGGTGATTACAGATCTCTAAGCACACTTGTATCTGGACAACATGGAAGGAAATAAATGGAAAAATAGTTTCATTGCTGTTGATTTTTTCTTTAATATTGAACTCGTGATCATGAAAGTGGTTGAAATCTGTTCTTTCCCTGTCCTTCTGGTCAGAACAATATTGATGTTAAAGAGGCAGTAATCAAAGAAACAAGGCTCCAGCTGAGGACAAACATTTATCAACATTTCCCAAATGCCAGGCTTATGAAGATAAGTACTGAAATTGCTGCAACTAGGAAAAACAGAACTAAGAAAGGAAAGGAAGGCTCCTTTGGCATCTGACAATTTTCTGATGATGCTGAAAGGAGGAAGGCTCCCTGGCAGGACCTGGATCCCTCTCTATCCTTCCTAATAGGATGGAATGAAAGGGCATAGACCAAAATCAGAAACAGAGATGCAGAGCCCCAGCACAATGAACCATTCGAAAATTAAAAAAAAACATCTTTAGTGATGCTTACGATAATTTGGAAAAAAAAATATTTGTTTTACTCTCTAGCTTCTTAACCTTTAGGATGCACTCAGTTTTCTTCTCTGTAACCATGAAAATCATCTTCCTGCAACCAGAATTTTGTGTTTTATGTAAGAGCGCCAACTGCCTGCAGATCACAACAAGCACCTGATTTGCTATCAAGAGGAGAAGATGCAGACCCCCCAGGAGGGGAGTGCGTGGAGATCCAGAGTGGGATGGCTGACAGCTGGATGCAAAGTGAGCTGCCCGACAGCAGCACATCATCATCCAGACGTGAGGAGGAGAAGGTGCTGCACCAGGGCTCTGTATTACTAAGCATCTAAAGCTGAGAGCATTCTGCTCCTCAGTTCATACAAGCTGGGGTATTCTTCACAGACAAAGATTTGTTCACATCAGAGGAAACAATTTAATAAATTACACTGAGACCAAGTATTTTACCCCATATTACCACGGCAATAACAGTGCAAACACTCTGAAAAAATAAAACAGTGCTAACTAATAATTAGAAATTATAATTCCTGTATCCCCAGCTGCCTTTCAACTAGAAGCATCGCAGACATTATGGATGGAAATTGCCTATTAGATCATCCAGTCTAACTCCTTGACAGTGAAGGATAAATATCTCAGGGTGCTATCCATTATAATAGCGCCTGGGATCATTTTGTTCATCTGTTGAATTTCAGCCATGTCTCAGATGGATAGAAGATCTGTTCCGTGCTGCAGGAAGAAGACATTCAGTACGTGAGGACATGACAGATAATCGAC